AATATCTCTACAATAATACTTTGGTCTGTGTTTGCGTCTACGAAAACTTCCTGATTATTTGGAACTTCGCGGATTTCGCTTTTAATGCATAGTCATGGCCAAATATACATAAAAAACACACGCGTTTGAGTATTTACATGCGTAATTTTTTTTTCTAGCGTTCTTTATTATTCAAATTCACGAGTCCCATATAAGTGGAAAAGGAAATGCAACAATTTGCGCCAGGAACCTGACATCTCTAAATTGAAGAGGAATGTGCGTGACAATTGCACCTCCAAACAGTTGCCGGAGTGTTGGCGGTGGTGGTTGATTCATTTTCGTTAAAAAAACGTAGTTGATACAAAGGATTTATGTGTATCGAAATTGATGATCAATCCGGTTGTCACGATTTCTATACTATTTTTGTATCTCGAGTACGTTATTTTTTTACGTATGTCTTTCAATCTCGGAAGGCGCTATTTTTAATTTTTATTGTTTCGAATAAAGTGGCTTCAGGTTTTGGTTATTCAGGTGGACCAAACAGGTGTTTTATGCTCTGGCAAGAATTTCGAAAATGCTATGCCATGGCTGACTTCCCCGAGCAATGTCTCGCACAAAAAGAAGACTACCTAGAATGCTTACACCACACAAAAGAAGTATTTATCAAATATATCCATTAATATGATCGTTGCGATTCTGTTGTCAGATAAATTATAATAATAACATAATTACGCCTATATTTAGAGACAACGAGCAAAGAGGATCAAAGAGGAGGAAATTAGGCAACGAAAAAAGGCGGAAGAAGATGCACGTAAACATGCCGATTCTGCGGCAAAAAGTAACATTATTAGACTCGGTATAATCGAAAAGCCTTCTGGAGAAAGTGAGAATAAAAATCAGAGTTGACGATTCAAGATCCTCACATACATATATCATGAATTTGAGATATGTTTACAATTTTTTCATCTTATATGAAACATTTTTCATTTAAAAAGGCGCGTAAAAATTGGTGTGGTCACATTTATTTACAAACCAACGGGGTATATCGATCTTCAATATTAGATATGTTATCTTTTTGCGGGAAATTGTTTATAATGTATATATTAGTGATGACAACGACATTCTACGTGTCAGAAATGTGGCAGCATCTCGTCCTACTTTTTGACTTTTGCTTTCCCTTCGATGATTGACTCAGCAATGATATTGATGTAGAATGAACTAACTAATTATATAAAAATATTTGAGGTGATGATGATGATGATGATGATGATATGAAGAAAATCAGAAATACTTAAGTAAAATCTTAAATGTTTTGTTAAGCAAAGAATCAAAGAAAATACCGTTTTTTTAGTAAGAAAAAAAGTGAATATATGCTGCTACTATTTTCGCGGAAAGTTCGAGTCAGTGTTTAGGTTTTTTTTTTCTTTCATTGTTCGAGTAAATCTGAGGAGTGTTCAATATTTTCAGAGTTATTTTCATTTTCGTTTAATGGAGATACAACACTTTTTCCTTTTCCCTTCTTGTCCTTTTCATCTTCGCCTTTCGGAACCGATGTACTCGCCGCATTAGGCGAGTTACCATTGATATTGTTACTACTGTTAGATGTAGTTGAATCTGTTGTAACTGTATTTTTAGATGTTGCAAGATCTGGTTGTGTCTGGTTCCCTCGTTGTAGATCACTTGTTATTGGTGGTAATACACTTAATGTTTGTGTTAAAACACTGATAATATTATATATTTGTTCATCCACATTATGTAATACCCTTATTCGTTCCGAGAGTGCTTCCCGTGTTTCCGTTTCTAACACTCGAATTTGTTCTTCAGATAAATGATCTAGAGTGGATGAAGATGAACTCCCATTTCCTAAATTAGGTGGACCAGCGGAATACCTTCCGGGCCATGTATGAAAAAGCGGAATTAATCCCGGGATCTGAGAAAATTGAGGAGGTAAATTAGGAATACTGTGGGTATTAGGTATTGGCAGTTGTGTAGCTGTTGATGATTGTGTTGATGATTGTGATGTGGTGGTGAAATTCTGAAATGACGATGAAGATGATGATGGTTGCCTTGTCAGCGATATCGGCTGGCGCCTTGTTGTATTATTAGATTGAGTTTGAGTTGAAGACGATGATGATGATGATGGTGAGATTGCTTCGACCTGTTTTTTATTTCATTAGTAAATGTTTAATAGAATTAAGTAAAAATTAAAACGAAGTTACATACATCATTCGTCATTCGTTCTTCGATGTTTGTGGATGTATGTGGTGTTGTTGTAGAATCCGACGGATTATCAGTATTCGGTTGAGGGTTAGGATTGGGATTTGGATTCACGTTTGGATTGGGAACAGGGAGAGGTTGTCCCATCCATGGAACTTGCATTGCTGGAGGAGGAAACACCATAAATCCGGGCATTGGATTAGCAAAGTACCCTGGTGGAAAATTAGCCCCAACCGGCACGCCATGTATATGTGGTGGTGGTGGCGGTGGAACATTGCGAGGAACTGGCCCGGGACGTGCAGCTTGCTGTGGTGGTTGCTGTGTTGGTGGAGCTTTTATAAATATATTCACGGTTAACAGACTCGTAAAACTTCAAATAGTCAAATATTAGCTAATCAAAGACACTCACCTTCTAATACAGGTCTTCGACTTTTATGCAAAAATTGATAGTTTTGTTCAGAAATTATATAATTAAAACCAAATGATGCATCACAAAATAATACATACCAAGTAGGACAACTTTGTTGTCTTTCCAGCCAACTCCTAAGGCAATGAAAATGGAAAATATGTCCACAAGGTAACTTTTTAGGCGTATCACCTGACCCATTATTAGCTGGCTGCTGAGGTGTTCTACGTTGTGCAGCCCTTACAGCAACATCTCCTTGTGGCGCTTCGGCGGCATTAGCAGCTCCATCCACTACAGCCACCATTTCCTCTCGGCATATAATACATGTACGATCACTTAATCTTTCAAGCTCTTCGACAGTTGCGTTCGGGTATCGCTCATTCATGTTTCTCGTCGCCCGACGATATCTGATCAAATCACCGCATTTTTGTAGAAATGATCGCAAGGTGACATATACATCGCGAATGATGTGAAGCGGTAGACCATAGGATATTAGGATAATTGCGAAAAATATAAGGTACGTGATCAATTTGAAAAAATCTGTAGTCGAATTGGAAATATAGAAATTTCTTTGAATTAATTGCTTGATTAGTTAAACAAAATCATTGTTTTTTGTAAACATGATTATAAAATAACAAGCATAATAATCAAAATTTTCACCAGTGACAAGTTCCAAGTAAAATACATATAAAGATTTATTTTGCCAAGGTTCCTCGCGTCTCAATTCGATTATATTCAAGATATATTTGCAAAATGTTGATATTATAGTTGCGGCAAGAATCGCATACTATGAGAAACAAAAAGAAATGATAAAATAAGAAACCATATTCAAACAACAAAATTATTACAAAGATAAGAAAAAACCATCGCACCTCAAAGGCAAACATAATCATCATATTAGGACCTTTTTTCATTGTGACATCAACAGCATAAAAGACCAAAATGAAGTCCACAGCACACAAGATTTCCATGAGGGCAACCATTCGAAGATGAAAAGAAAAACGCACAACCCTCAATTGTTCCATCTATATCCTCATATAATAGAATAGAAATGACAATGATGATTTCCATGATCATTAATATAAACAATACGATATGGTTCCACAATAATATCATGACGAAATGTTCACATTACTCACATATTCAACTCGATCTTGACATAGCCAATGAAAGGTTTTCAAGAATAGCAATGTTGTAAAAGTCACGAAAAATCTTGTGTCAAACTCATCTCGAAAAATAGTCATTGCCAGGCAAGTTTCAGTAACCGCGTACCAAGCTCGTTCATATAAATGCTTTTGTGAAAAATTTCAGAAAATGCTAGAACATAAAATAATGAAAGATATGCTTGATCAATATGTATAGTAACGAATGTTCTTACTTCGATTTCTAAAGCCCGCAATCTTCCAAAGAACATGTGTTGTAAAATTTGTCCAAATATTATCATTAAGAAAAATCCCATATTCATCAAAATCTGATTTAAAAAAAAGGAATTATAAAGTTAACTGTCAGATAAATGCATTTCACTAAGATCTACGACCAATCGAGTATACTTTACAAGATCATAAATAAATCTTAAAAATAAGCACAAAATCGCATACAAAAATGTCTATAACTCGAAAAGACAAATAAATCTGTAAATACCATCATACAAGCACTAGATTTTGAAAGATATATGCAAGCCGCATAGAAATTACTTCTCTGTCGAAAGGCCGCTGCAACAACCAAAAATGCTAAGAAGGTGCTAACCGCGCCATAGACTGCAAGTCGCACCATTTTCTCTGTATGTTTTAAGCGTTATTGTACTAATGGAATGTATTGAAATGCGAGAAAAGAATCTATGATATGAATTGCTTAAGCAATGCGGGATTTACGTGGCATTAAAAAGTTCGTATAAATATTTGTATTACAAATTTAAATGGTAAAGATCGATATGCACATATTAATATATGTACATGTATACATTTAATTTATATTTTATAATAATCTTCCGTTAAATAATTATCTAGTCAACATAACAATTAATCACACGAATAAATTTAGATCAATAAACGACCCATTGACCTCTCATCCTATCAAACGCGTCTCTAAAGCCCGCCATGCTTTGTTCACAATCACTGCTGGCACGTTTTTGCATAGCTTCAGGCATCCATTCTTCAATTTTTTGAATACGCGTTTTATTGGCCGGATGAGTGCTTAGAAATTGCGGTGGCGCAATTTTTTGTACTTGATTCATCCTTATCCAAACATTTTTGGCTTCCGTGGGATCGAAGCATGCTTGAGCCATTAATAGGAGCCCGATATAATCTGCTTCTGTTTCACATTTTCTCGAAAACGGCATCCTAATGTCAATCAATCAAGTTAATGTTAATTATTATGTGGATTTCAACAATAACTTACATTATTCCAAGTTCAAAAAACACGCGACTTAATAAACCCGGATCAACTATTAAGCTGAGGAGAACTTGAGTGAAAAACAAAATTTTAACAAAAGAAAGTTTTTCGGCACTATGACGAGCTATTTGATGTCCAATCTTTACTCAAAAACAACTTGTTTGTTAATAACAATTGAAGTTTTGATCCATTCTTCAATGAATATCTATCTACTCACTTCATGTCCTAAAACTGCGGCCATCCCATCTTCATTTTTAGTGACCGGTAAAATACCGGTAAACACAAAAATTTTTCCACCTGGAAGTACGAATGCATTTTTTTCTGGCGAAGCAATTACATAAAACTCCCAATGCAAATCTAAAAATGGAAGTGTTAAGAGAACCGAAATTCATCGCAAGAAGGAAAAAGACCATACAGTTAGTGGTATACAGACGTTCCATCCCGCTAACTTTTATTATTCTCTCGGCAACTCTACGCACAAACTGTGTATCGGGGTGCCGGGACGGTAGGATTTTGTTACGATATATTGACATTATCTGACTATAAGATTGCTGGGACATGAGCTCCTCCTGTTTTGGCGTGATATCAATGAACCTCCGTCGTCCAGTAATTGGCACAGTTTCCAGGTGGTTTAAGTAATATGTGCCTAAATTTTTGTAGATTCGGAGATTCATTGATTTTGAAACACATACATATATCAACATTCGTTCTCCCATTAATTATTTGAAAAAGTCCAATTATCCCACCAGCAAGGCCGCCTATCACCCCGGTATAGACCCAAAAGACTTTTTTTTGATAGAAAGGTTGCGCCTGTTGAAAACGTTTGTATTGATTAATTGGTGGTGGAGGCATACGACGAATTGGAGGCTTATCATTGAAGGTGTATATTTGTCGTCGGATTGACGGGGTTTTCAAAAGAGAGCCTGAAGTGATAACTTTAAGAAATGACTTTTGAATAGTAATATTAACCATTTGGATGAAAAATCAATACGCGACATTTGTGAGTAACAGTACACTTTTCAAATCACGTGATTTTTATTATAATTTCAAATAAAAATTTACTATATAATTAATTTATTTTATATAAACAAACTTTTTTAAAATATTTCATATTATTAAATATAAAATATTATATTAATTATATAAATAATAAAATAATTTTAGTTTTTTATAAAGTGAATTTATTATATAAATAAGTTATATATTCATTTTAATTTCTTTATTTTAATAATAATATTTTTTTATTATTAAAAATTTATATATTAATATTAATAAAAAAATTTAATTAAGATTATTATTAAAAAATATTAGTATTATTTACAGTGATAATCAAAAATAATGTAATGCTTAAATTTTTTACTAATTATAATTAGTAAAATATATAATTTTCCTTATATATAAAAGTTTTTAATTTTACTAACAAATATTTTTTTATTTTTAGCTCAAAAAATAGTTAAAGTTCTTTAGTTTAATATATATATTTTTTTTAATTACATATGAAGTCAATTAATAAAAATTAATTAACTTTATATGTAATTAGAACAAGTTACTGGTAAAAAATCTGAAAAAAATATATATTAAACTAGAGAACTTTAGCTATTTTTTGAGCTAAAAGTAAGAAAAATCATGTATTTTACTAATTATAATTAGTAAAAAATTTAAATGTTATATTACTTTTAATTATCACTGTATTTTAAATTAATTTTTAAATTAAAATTCAATTAAAAAAATAATTAAAAATATAAAAATAATATATTTTTAACTAATAAATTAAATAAATTTTTATTTTCTAGATATTTTTTTTATAAATATCTTATAAAATAAAATTATAATTTATAATATTAATAAATTATTTTTGTTATTAAATTTAATTAGAAATCTTATTATTTAATTAATTATAAAAATTATATTAATATTATTAATTTATTTTTAAAGTTAAATATATTATTTATTATATAATTTTTTTAATTAATAATCTTACTTATTTATATAAAATATACAGTGGCCATCAAAAATAATGCAACGCTTAAATTTTTTACTAATTATAATTAGTAAAATATGTGATTTTTCTTACATATAAAAGTTTTTAATTTTATTAACAAATATTTTTTATTTTTATCTCAAAAAATAGCTAAAGT